ATCCTTGAAATGTTTTTAGCAGTTAATGAAATGTTTTACATGGACACCTGTAACTTATCATATCACTTGAGGGTTAGAACCTTAAAAAACTAATGAGTACAATAATTGATTTGTATATTATTCAAAACAGCATCAGACAGATAATTTGTTGCAGTACTTTAAAAGCACATGAAACACCAGAAAAAATTTTTAAAATTTATGCCAAATGATGGTTAAAAAGTTGCTGTTGATAATACTTTTTTAAGGAATGAGTAGTGATGGACATCAATTATATCAAATGATTATTTAGATAGATTTCTGCATAGCCCCATATTTCATTATGCGTTAAGTTCTTTAATGAAGAAAACAATAAGTGAGGGACAAAAATTTTTGTTAATCAGTCACAGAAACATAGTAGAGCAAAACCAACTCAGCTCTGGATTTTATTCAACACTGAATTGAACCTTGCCTGTAGGGTTAAGAGTGACACTGCAGAGGCAATAAATATGTTTTGCATATGCAGCATTCCCCTGTTGTAAAGGAATGGAATAAAGGAGAGGTGTTAATTTTATAAATCTTGGTCCAAATATTAAAATACATCTCTCAAAGCAAAATCAACTCAACTCTGGATTTTATTCAACACTTAATTGAACCTTGCCTGTAGGGCCAAGAGTGATTAGATAGCAGAGGTAACTGATATGTTTTACCTACAATGTACATATAGTGTTCCCCTATGGTAAAGTAATGCTGCAGTAATGGAGAAGTGTTGATTTTAAAAATCTTGGATCAAATATAAAAATACATCTCTCTCTCTTGTAGCTCTTTTATACACCAATGCAAGATCCAGCAGCAGCACTAAACCTTCTCACTGATACAGAGAAACAGGCCTTCTTTCTTATGACTGATATAAAAATGGTTCTGGTCAAGTTTATAATTCCTGGTGGGGTTGAAACATTAACAGATAGTCTCAAGAGAAGCTTCTTCTTCACTGTGTCAGATTGGGATGTGTTAGCATCTTGCTTCTGCAATGGCCAGGCATCAAAGTGTGATCCAGATGTAAGTACACTGTTGAAAATTCAAGTGTTTTCTCTTCTAGTTTAATGTACACTTCTGTAGCTATATTCTGCAGAAACATGGTTACCCTCCAGTTTAGTCAAAATCAAAGTGATCAATATGTTACCATCATCCACGCACCTGTTACCAGTCAAACAGATTAGTGTATAATTTGTACTGTATATTATGATATTGAAAATTCTATTGAACTTTAATTTGTGTGTCATAATTATGAAAAGAAATGTGTGTATGTCTGATTTTACAATGATATCATTGATATCATATTACATGTAAATTCTTAGGACTTCTCCAAGTGCATATGTGAAAGGAATACTGATGGTCCAAACTGTGAAAAGTGTTTACCACTCTACAATAACAAACCTTACCAGATACGAGAAGCATGTGAAGGTGAGATCACAAGATCTGCAAGACTGTTCAAAGTTGTTTTTTGTCTTTGCTTTTGGTTTTTTGTCGCTGTTTATTTACATTGATGGAACTTTGATAATAATTTCCTTCAAATTCTTAAATATTTTGCTAACGTATTTGAAAAAAATTTTGTGGTGATCTAGATGATGTGAAAATGCTGAAAAATGATGACAAGTTTTGAACATTGCCATCAATTTTTCAATCTTGGTGGAAAAATTCTTTATCTAGATTCATTCTCAAATTCTTTCAACTCCTGTTTTATTAGGATTAATTAGGGGTAAGGCATAATATAAAGTGCATTAATCAACCTAGATTTAAAATCTTTAGCCCTACAATTTAAATTTCATTACAAGATATATATATGCACTCCATGACAAAAATCCTTTCTTTGATTTAATTTTTTTAGGTGTGTTACTAATTAAATTTAACCCATGCTCTTGTTTTCAGCATGTGAATGCAATAGTCATTCTGACAGCTGCTCCTACAATGAAACAAAAGGATATGGAATTTGTAATGATTGTAAGCACAACACAACAGGGGATATGTGTCAACTTTGTAAGGAGACCTTTTACAGAAACTCAGCTGTATCACAGAATACCACCAATACTTGTCTGGGTAAATATCTTCTTTTTGATGATAGTCACTCTGTGTCTGTACACTATAAATGCACATGTCTGTTGTTAGGCTTGTAAAATAATAATTATACTATTGTGCAATTATACTATCATTAGGTTCAGAGTACTTTAAGCAGCAGTGATCTTTTTAGGTGGTGACTGGTAAAAATTCACTGCCTTTAGTTCCTCTTATAACAGCTTAAACTAGCCTGGAGTTCTTGAAAATAATATTCAACAAGTTAATTGTGCTAGCAATTGGAAATTATATTTTACATTTCATTCTTGAAATAAGGAAGACCATTGGATCTGTAGAGAAAATTAATTTTAAAGGTTTTTTTTTAATTGATTTAATTTAGTAACTGAGGAACTTATAAATTAAAATATAGAGCCATATTAAAAGTACATTATAACTTATGATCATTGCTATCATATTTTTCAGTGACCTCAAGAATTGTGATAGTATACTTATTACAACTGTAGGTTATTTTGTCTATAGGATAATTTTAACTAATTTTGTATGTCTTGGTGTTTTAAAGCCTGTGCATGTCATGTTCCTGGTGTAAACACTTCAGCTGACAGCTCACAGTGTGATAGTGTTACTGGTCAGTGTGCATGTAAGAGTCGAGTGATGGGAAGGGCCTGTGATATGTGTCGCGATACTTACTGGAAACTAACTACAGACAACGAGGCAGGCTGTGAAGGTATTCAATTAAAGAGTATTAGAAAAAAGTTTCTGAACAACAAATTTTAAGGGAAATTGAATATTTAACCCTCTTACTCCCAAATGCCATTGGTTATTGTCTGCTATACAATTTATATGATGTTAGTTTGGAGAATTAGGTATAAAATATATTGGTAATCCCTTAATTAATACTTGTATTTTCTCATCACTTGTCTGCTTAATATATTGTATTGATAAAGTGAGGAGAAATTCTATCTTGGTCACTCATGGGAATTAAAGGGTTAATTATTGCCAACTTGTAGTCAGCATTGAGTTTGTGACCTGTATCATTGAAGGAACAATTCAAGCTGTTGAGTTAATAAGGTTATCTTACCTGTGTTTTAAAAGAGCTGAATCATGCTTCAAACATGCACTGAAACTTATATCAGAAGTTATTTATGTGTAGTACTGTCAGTAATATTTTGACTGGATGTTTCTACTTGACTTGATTTTAGAATGCCACTGCAATTTAACTGGAACAGTCAACAGTTCCAATGTGTGTGACAAGATAACTGGTCAGTGCCCCTGTAAGCAGCTACTCACAGGAAGGACATGTAACCAGTGCCAAGTGAGTCCACTATTTCATGTACAAATATTTTTTTTTATTGTAAGCCAACTGATGTCCACAAAACAGTTGTAAAAAAAAGGTTTGCCTGTTTTATGTATTATGGAGCTAATTTTGAATTGTGGTGAAGGCAGGGAGAGGGGGCACTTTTTTTTAAGAAGGCATTCATATGAAAGGAGGTGCAAATTCAAGTACTTTCTGAACAGAAGTAGTTTGATAACTGAAAAATAATACATTTTTCACAAGGATGGATACTTTGGATTGACATCTGAAAACCCTGGCTGTACTGCATGTAACTGTGACCTGGCTGGCTCAGTAAATACCTCATGTTCTTCATCTGGGAAATGTTACTGCCGTCCCAAGTTCTCTGGGGATAAATGTGACAAGATTGATGAAGGCTTCTTTGTCCCAAGTGTAGATTTTATGACGTTTCAGGCTGAGGATGCTACACCCATAACTGTAAGAAGTGTTAATCTCTATTCTGCATGCTGCTATTTGTCAAAATCAATGAAGGTTGTCTATGTTTAGTGAACATTAGAAATTAATATTTGATTACTTGGAGCACTAATTTGTCCAAAGGTTTGGGAACAGTCTCTCTCAACTATTTATATCTGTAAAGTGGATTAATATTGTTGCATAGTGTTCTTGTGATTTCGCCCTTCACCTTTGAGAAGTGATGAATCTTGTGTGAAATGAGCTGAGACCAAATTAGTCTTAATAAGTCTGAAGTAACTCTCTTCACTGTTTGGACAGCATGAAAAGTCTGGGCAAAAAAAGGAAATTTTTACTATTAAAGCAGTGTGTCTTATTTGATATTCTGATTACCATTTTTAACTGTATATTGCAAGAGCAGAAGGAGGAGGAAGTTCTCTTTTTGGAGTCATGTGGGTCCCCCAGAAAGATTATGTGCTTAGTCATGATGGAGCAGGTGGATTTAACCCTTTAACTCCCAGATCAAATTGGTTATAACAAATCGATTTGTAATAATTCTCCTTACTGTCAACCATACAATTCTTTGAATGTTAGTTCAGATAATTTAGTATTGGATCAACTTATTACCTCCAAATTGATATTTTCCTTTATTCTTGTCACTTATCTGGTTGATATTGTAAGGATATTGTAAGGAGAAATTCTGTCCTGGTCACTCATGGGAGTTAAAGGGTTAAGGCCATGAATGACCATTCTGTCTCCTTGTTTATTCTGCCACAGTAAAGATGACTCTAGACTTGATGGATGGAAAAAATCTTAGCACCAACTGTGTAAAGTTGTGCTGAGTAAAGGTCCCTGCTCTCAGCTCCAACAACAACCTTGATGTTATTTATGATTTAAGGTTTTTCTCGGTGTACAGCATGTAATAAGAACTGGTAATCCTTGTTCAGAGAAACTTTATGGTTGACTCAGTTCATGTTTGGATTTTTTAATATTGATTTTGAAAGATTCTTACATGGAAAGGGGTGTTAAATTATTTGACTTGAAAATAGAATAGCATTTTTTAATCAATTTTAATTATTAATCCTACTGTCACTAATTTCAAAATATTTGTCTTTTTTTACACAGCCACAAACAAAAACAATCAGTCATCGAGAAATTGTTAATGCAGCTGGAAACATTGTTCTTGTGGTTGGTGTGGTATTGAATGAGGGAGTGAATAATGCCGCACCAACTGAGCTGGAGTTCACTGTTAACATTCCTAAAACAGGATTCTTTAATTTTGTCCTGCGTTACATGGTGAGATGTTCCTCCCTTGGGCAAGATATCGTTATGAATGATTATTGTTTAGTAATTGGAAATAGTCTTACCTTTCTGCTCATTTACTAAAACTCAGTAGTATGGAAGGGGTGTTTGTTTCATCTTGTGGATCTGAGAGGGTCAAATTAAAAGTTTTTGACAAATTTTTAATAGTATGCTGAAATTATCATGATTATTATTAGCATTTTGTATTTTGCAGACTGGTTATAACTGGAATTTGGTTAAGATAACTGCTTTGCTGCGGACAGCTTTTGTGCCCTTCACGTGCAACAACATTAATCAAATCACCAAGAATGAGCCTCTCATCCTGACTAGGACAGTGTTGTCTGGAAGTGAAGCTCATGATTATGGAAGTCACTGTTTATTAGTGGGTCAGTACAGTGTAAAACTTCAAATACCTGCTGGAAGTGCTCAACAAGGTGTTCTGGTCACTCGAAGGAAAAGAAGGGCATTGCCTGATGCAGACATCACTGTTGATTCTGTAAGTAATTATTCACTCTCTATAGCCTGTTGCTATGATTGTTACAAGAGAAATATTCACTATTAGCTTTGTTGGAAGCTTAAGTGGGCTGAACATCACTGTTTTCTTGGTATTTGAGTTTCATACTACAATGTACAGCATGTAAAGTATATGTAAATCAAAGAAAGCTACCTTGCTGTACATGTAAGTGCTGTGGGCTATCTGAAAAGCAACTTAGTTTCGCAAAATTGTGACAACTTTTACCTAGTCTCACTGGAACCCAGAGTTATTTTCTGTGGAGAGACATCATGACCTAGTTATTGGTGCTCTGGAAGCTTAATTGACACTGGATTGACACATTCAGGTGGGAACCTTGGTCAGGATAACTGTGTGGTTTTCTTAGCCAAGGTAAATTTACTCAAGGAGGATAAATAGCCAGAATGAAGTACATTTATGTAGCATCCCATCAAAGAGGTTTTACAATAGGACAGTGTAGAGCAGCTACAAAACAAACAAAACAGTTCACATTTGCAAAGAGTTCAAGTCCTAAGGAATTGACTTAGACAACAACATGGCCTCCATGGTGTCATGTGGAAACAATCTCTATCAGTAGGCAACCACAAGAACTTGTAGATAATTTTTGAAACATAAAATTGATGTCAGTAATAATTATTTTAATTTGTAACACAGCTTTTAGCCATGCCGACTGTGTCTGAGTATGATGTATTCAAGGAAGCATCTGCTGAAGTTCAAGAAAACATGACATTTTACTACAATGCATCATCATCCCTGAAAACCTGGTCAGCAAACTCTGAGGCAGGAAGTCGTGCACTTGCACCAGTGTTTGGAAGCACTTTTGGAGAGGGACAAGGTAACATTGATACCGACAAAGTTAAGAAAAATTGTAAAAATTAACATTAAGAACTGCTGTAAGAAACAAGGCGGTGATCGAAATAAAGGGAATAGTGACTTTACTAAACTCTAGAGAATAATTTACATGTAATACCAATGGACAAAGGGATAGATTGCATATCAAGGAAATTTTGGCTTATACTACTCCAGCTACACGCTTATTCAGCGTATGAATATGAGTATGTTTTTAACCCAGAAATCTCTCTTAGTATGCTTTACCCACCTTAATGCAAAATTTACTTAAAATAAAAATTTAGACCATTCATGTGCAATCAATATTTATACTTAAACTTGTTATATTTTTATTCAGCATGTAACTGTAGCTCTGTGGGGTCAAACGACCCTGATGAATGTGACAGATATAGTGGACAATGTTCCTGCAAGCCTAATGTGATTGGTCGCACTTGTGATCAGTGTAGGCCAGACTATTTTAACTTCACCTCTGGTCAAGGTTGTCAAGGTAAACAGGGTTAAATATTGTGCATGTGTTTAGAATATACCCTAGATCAACACATACCTGCACCCTAAGAAAACTTTGAGCTGTCATAGTTAACTGATTGTTACTTACAACAAAACATTTCTCAATAAAGAATATTTTTAACACCTTCATTATTAATACTATTCCCTAACACTCGATCTTTACCTCTGTCTATTATTGAGTATGTAGTATGAAATTTTGATATTTGACCCACAAATGGTAGCAACTTGTTGCACTGATAGAGTTTTCTTGGATAGAAATGCCTGCATAATTGAAACAGACTATGAGGGTAAGAGGTTCAAAAACCACATACTTTATTCCCACCTTTATGTCAATTTTGAATGAATGATGTTGTCTATGTCTTTCCATTTTTGAAAATAACAAATTATATGAGCATGGATTTTTAATTAAAAATAATTCAAATAGTATGCGCGCTCTGATTGGCCATAAAACCATTTTACATGAGCGTATGTAAACACAGTTTTTGTTCCTCTTTCATTAGTTATTTTATATAAGAAATGTAAAATGGTTTCCGTGTTTACATACCCTGATGTAAACACTTGGGAGGTTGGGAGAACACTCGATAAGCTGGAAACCACTCCGCTTCACGTCGTGGTTTCCTACACTTATCTTGTGTTCTCCCAACCTTCCACGTGTTTACATCAGGCTATGTAAACACGGAAACCATTTTACATTTCTTCAATATTACATGAATATTACTGTCAAACCTGATATCTTATTGTTGTATCATTATTTGTACAATATCTGTACACTGTAGCAATGTGGAAGTGCAATCAGTGTTTTTGCTAACAGCTCTTCTTCTTTGGTTTATTCACAGATTGCAACTGTAGCATGACTGGTGCAAATGAAACATCTTGCCATCCTGAAACAGGGCAATGTTCCTGCAGGGAGAATGTAATAGGCCAACATTGTGAGCAATGTGAAATAAACTATTACAACTTTAACAGTGGGGCAGGCTGCTCTTCCTGTGACTGCAATCCTATCTACTCCACCAGCCTGCAGTGTGATGGAAACACTGGTGTGTGTAGCTGTAAGCCTGGTATTAATGGAGCAAAATGTACAGGATGTGCTGATCAGTTTTACAATCTTACAGACCAAGGTAATGTTTATGATACATACAGGTAGTGGTTTCTGTACTCTTTCCCTCTCTCTTTTAAGTGGGGCACAGAATATTGGAAAGTAAAACTTCTGTCTATTTTAAAGCAGTTATATATGAGACAATATTGTCAGTGATTTAATTTTTCTTGGTTTAAGATGTTGTTGTGGGTTACCAACTTTTCTAGCATTCTTTATAATGGTTTTGGATTAAATGTCCTTGTTTCTTGTAGGTTGTATGTCCTGTGATTGTAACCTTGCGGGAAGTGCCAGCCCTGCCTGTAACAAGACTACAGGCCAGTGTCCTTGTAAGGCTCAATCTCTAGGCCGTCAGTGTGACATGTGCCCAGCTGGTTATTATGGCTTAAGTGTCCAGAATCCTCAAGGTTGTTTGAAGTGTCAGTGTTCAAATAAATCATCAGAATGTGTTGCTGACCCAGGATGGTTTGTTTCAACTCTTAACACCACTCTGTCAGTGTTTAATGACAATGTTGATCTGGATGGTTGGAGTACTATAGACAGTGCAGGAAAACAAGTCAATCCAGTTTTGGACTGGGATGTTACTGTAAACATTGAGAAGTGAGTGTTTACATTATGTTGTGTATTTTCATACATGTAGTGTGGTATACAAGTCATGTGATCCTCTGCTATTAACTTTGGTAGTGTGTGCACCAGTAAATTGTCCTTTAAAATTATGGTGTAGTTGTCCTCTGAAGAGGAAGAGGAAGGAGAAGGGAAATTACATTCAGGTGTTATCATTCTCTTTTCACCTTATGGGCTTAAATTCAAGTAAATTTTTTCTTTTCCTTCCCTTTGTATGACATTCACCTAGGCTATGTCACTTGATACAGTAAAATCTAAGTCATCAAGAAACTGGGCAAATTGAGAACCCCTTTATAAAATGTTAAGCTGATAATAACTTAAGGTAATTACTTTAGTGTGACATGTTCATATCTGGAAAACCAGGATAGTTTGCAGTTCTACATAAATGTTAGAGAGCGTGCTCAATTTATATACTGTGTTGGTGTAGCACTGTTTGTTTGATTGTTTGTAGACCTTTACACTGACTAGATGAAAAGACCTTGACAAACTGGTTTATACTAAGCCTTACAATTGTCCTCTTTGTTTTCTTCAGGGGATCTATGAAAGTTGACACTCAAGGCTCAGATGATATCTACTTTGTTGCTCCTGACAAGTACCTTGGGGACAAGAGATCTGCTTATACATATGCGTTGTCATTCCATTTACAACAGGACAATGCATCCAGCCCTGCAACATCCTCTAGGGGAGATGTTATCCTTGAAGGCAAGTGGTTTGATGAACCTCTTGTCTCAAGTCTTGATGCTGCTCCACCAGGTGGAGACAATTTTAGGAAATATGAGGTAAGCTTCGACAATTGTGTTTAACCATAATAACTCACAGTAACAATGGTAATGAAAAGGATGATGATGATGATGGCGACAGAACAATTGTTGGTGTCATCATTATCATCAGCATCACAATTGTCCATATAATTGTCATTATTGAGGAATCGTTATTTTTGGATCAGAGTTTACCAGTGGAGATATTTTTTGACCCAGGGGAATTTGGACCAAGAGATCTGGGGTTCTCTTTTCCAGGGGTTGATGACAACCATCAAACTGTCATTTTGTGTATTTAGCAGCTGTTCTTTGAGATATTTTACAGTACTCCACTGTTACATTTGATAAAAATAGTAGCGAGGGAGACTAACTGTCAGGGAAACGAAGAGAAAGGCTGTTTAAAACATAACCGTTGCACAACTTTTTGGGGGTAAACTCTTAATTGTTCTGTTTTACTCTCTTCCTGCTCCTGACCACCTGCCACCTGAAAAAAGTTTGGACATACTTTCGCCCCCGTTTACCGCTTTTCATTGTACTTATGCGTGGTGAGGCCATTTCTTTGGTTATTGAAATGGAAATTGTTATCACGGGATCAACTCAAAAATATAATTGGCTACTCTGATGTTACCTACATTTAAATTAATTTGGAACTTCGGTGACACCAATAAAAAGCGAGTAACAAGTCAAGTTGGGTTTTGATCCTGGGTGTGAGAATATGGATGTTAATAACTTGACGTTTGTTATTTTTATCAGGTAAAGCTTGTTGAAAGCAATTGGAGAGTAGGAAACACCTCTGGGCGGCAACCTTCAAGTTATGAAATGATTGTTGTATTAAGTCATTTGACTTCGCTGCGTATCAGGGCCAAGTGGACAACTCTTACAACGAAACTGTTCACCCGATTGGCTGATATTGAACTGACTCTTAGTAGCAGGTGTGTAGCATATTACTTACCCCAGAGTTGAAATGCTATAATAGTTTTTAGGCGTAAGTAAATGATTGCTGTTCCATTGATCTTTTTGTGCGTGGTTTAGAGAAGCAATAATGTCTAAATAATCTGGCATAAATATTCTGTCTTAATAGTGCGTAAAAGTTTTTTCTTTTAGCCTGGGTCTTAGGTGTACTGCTTTGCAGTATCGATTCGCATCCTAGTCTTTTTCAAAACCGTGTCGTGGTCTTTTCGCATAACAAGTGAGTTTTACGTGACAACTTCAAGCAACGGCTGTGATGTGGATTGGTACATCGGGGGCTTTAAATAATTTACTTTGATAAAACTGCTTCTAATGTAGATTCCTTTAATTTTTGAGGAGCAATATAATTCCTGGGGCGGAAAGTGCTTTAAACATTGAGAATTGTTCTTGCCCCGTGGAGTACAAAGGACAGTTTTGTGAACAGTGCGCCAGTGGCTACACACGTGTCACGCCAAATGGAGGCCCTTACGTGACATGTGTACCGTGCGAGTGTAACGGACACTCAGACATGTGCGACCCTGAGACTGGAGTGTGTCTGGACTGTCAACACAACACCACAGGTATTAACCATGAAAATAAAAGAAGCGAAAAATTTTTTCGAAGGAAGAAATGAGGTGATTAATATAGAAGGAGTGCGCAAATATTGTCGAGACGAGGGAGAAAAAAGTCCTTACACTTGGTTGTTTATCGGAGGAATAAGAACTTTGAGATACACAATGTAAGACTCTCGAGATCGGATTCTAATGCCCTGGTACAACTTATGCACGACCACTTTTTATGAAGTTATATGCTTATCTTGATTTAAAATGACCAAATATTGCACAGTTAGTTGCTCCTTTTAATTTGTGTCCTATGTGAATATTTGTTTATCAGGCGACCATTGTGAAAAGTGTTTAGATGGTTGGTATGGCAACGCCACTAATGCCACACCTAACGACTGCAGCCCGTGCCCATGCCCCAGCGGACCATTTGCCGTCAATCAGTTCGCTAAGACCT